AGGCGAGCAGCAGCAGCAGCAGCAGCAGCAGCAGCAGCAGCAGCAGCAGCAACAGGATGAGGAGGAGAACGAGGAGGCGGAAAGGAAAGGACAATGGAAGACAAGGACAAAGAGGAGCAGCAGGAGCAGCAGGAGCAGGAGCAGGAGAAGGAGAAGGAGAAGGAGCAGGAGCAGCAGCAGGAGCAGGTGGAGCAGGAGGAGCGGTACCTCCATCGCATTCTGGTAAATGGAGTTGCAGCAGACTTCTCCCATGCCCGAAGACGCGACGTGAATCCCCCTCCCCTCCCCGTGATGGAAACGATTGGCCGCGACCACAGGGCTCCCCTCGCTCCTGATCTTGATGCCGCTGCCCTTGTTGCGCAGCACGCTATTGCCCTGGATGGTTCCTCGGCCTGTAGCACGAGGGTCATGGGGAGGAAGAGGAAAGAGAGAGGAGGAGGAAGGAGAGGAGGAAGAAGGAGAGGAGGAAGAAATAAGAGGCAATGTGCTGGAGGAAGGTAAGACCGCGGTTAGGAGGGAGGGAGGGAGGGCGAGGGAGAAGGAGAAGGGACCAAGGCAATGGGAAAGTTAGGGGGAGAGGTGATGGAGGAAGGAAGGGAGGGAGGTGGGGAAGGAGAAAAGAGGCAGGAAGAACGAGCAAGGAGCAAAGAGGAAAGAGGTAGCATGGAGGATCGGCAACCTCCGTCGCACACGAGGATGCCATGTTTGAGGCCGTTGAAGATTGTGTTGCGCTGTATGATGGGGTCCGACGGCCCTTCGATCCTAACGCCTTGCTTCCTGTTGGAGTGAATCTGGTTCGACTCGACGTTCCCTTTCCCTCCTGCTCCCGAATCTCAGCATGCAGAAGACAGAGCAGCAGGAGCAGGAGCACAAGCAGGAGCAGCAGAAGGAGCAAGAGGAGGAAGAGGAAAAGGAGAAGGGGAGGAGAGGAGAGAGAGGAGGGGGAGGGGGAGGGGGAGGGAGGAGGAGGAGGAGGAGCAGCAGCAGCAGCAGCAGGAACCTTGCGTGAAGAAAATGCCATGCTGGCAATTATCGCGGATGAGATTCCTAGAGATGTTGGGGGAGGAATTGAGCATGACGCAAATGCCGCTCATGCCGTTGCAGGCGACCTCATTGTCCTACGATCATCGTAAGAACGAGAAAACGATTGGGGAAGGGAGAGGGGAAACGGATATGAGGAGTGAGGACGAGAACGAGGAACGATGAGGATGAGGATGAGGATAGGGGGCGACGGGCAAGGAGCAGGAGCAGCAGGAGAAGCAGAGGAGCAGGAGCAGGAGCAGCAGCAGGAGCAGCAGCAGGAGCAGCAGCAGCAGCAGCAGCAGGAGGCAGAGGGACCTGGAGGAGACCGGAAGCACCGTTGTAGATGAGGAACCCCATGTGAATGTTCCGCATGACGAGGTTGCGAGAGAGGTAGGCAGACGCGTCGTCTCTGATCTCAAAGCCGCACTGGCCATTCAGCTGCACGACGTTTCCTTCAAAGTGACCTGGGCTGGGTCAGAGAGAGGAGGGAGGCAAGTAGGGAAGGAGGGAAGGAGCAGGGAGCAGGGAGCGAGGGGGTTTGTAGTACGGTGTTTTTTGGTATGTTTTCTGTGTGTTTTTTTTTT